CGATTCGCGTATACGCTGAACACTTTTTTTACAAATTTCTGAAAAAATAAAGTAATCTATTCCGAAACAATTGGGAATCATTTCAAATAAAATCGGAAAAACAATTTTTAATCTAGATTCTCAGTGTTAAAATGATTGTTTGATCAGATCATGTAGCAATGTGATATGATTTGATGATGTAATAACTTGATGTGATGACACATAATGAGAAAATGATGAGAATGAAGATGTCATATAATGTGAAGATGATGTGGTTGATGGTGCCATTACGTGAAGATGACGTAATGATGTGATAGTAATAATATATGGCTGGATAAGTACGCTGATGTAATGGCGCGATAATATAATAACTTTATTTAGGAGACGAGGTTGAAAAGGTAGATGACGATTAGGTATGGATGATATGATACTGCATAAGTTTGTTTGTTAGTAAAAATTGCCGGTGAATGTATGTATGTATGTACTAAAACATTTGAATAGTTCTTTTGTCATCTCGTTCTCTTCTTAAACTTCAAAATTTTAAATTACGAATAAATCAAGAAGTTGTTTTGAATTAAAATTTAAATAAAATTTAAATAAAAATGAATTAATGTGAATCATTAACCGTTCGCCCGAAGAATGATCTGTAAGAAGTTTCAGCATCATACACATACACATACATGCATACAATACAATGTCACAATCACAGTTGAACGCACGTTGTATGAATGCTATATAAACTACAATACTATCCATTCGACTTGCTCATAGGTGAAGAGCTGATTGAAAGTGGATGAAACAACATCATGGTAAATTGTAATGATGATTTTTATAAACTTAAGAATTATTGATATTCAGGAAACAAAAAATAATTACACAAAATTTTTTTTAAATCAATTAATATCTTTTCAAAAACTATTTTAACAAAAAAAACAAACAAGCAAATGTTTCACGTGTTACTGTTGTTAGCATAAATCAGGTAGGAGCTTTCTTCTTCACTTGTTCAAAAAGTTATATTTGGTTTTGCCATAAACAATGTTTATATTGTACACACACAATTATCTACACATTATATATAATAGTTATATATTTATAAAATACACCATACATACATATATATACATTCAGGTTAGCATATCGATTATTTTTCATCCAACAATTTTATTTTCAATCTATTCACATTTAAACTCCAGAATTTGTATTTGTTACAATTATGTATTTTGTTGTTGGTTCCTTTTTTGTGGTTTCTTTTTCACATTTATTTTTCAGGATTTTTATACCATCTTCATCATCATTATCACCATAACCATCCTCATCATCATCACCATAACCATAATCATCATCACCATCCATCATCATCATAATCATCATCATAATCATCATCATCACAATTATCCAAATCATCATCATCAACATCATCATCATCGTCGTCATTATTATCATCATCATCATCAACAGCATCAGCGTCACTACAATTTTCAGCCCAACCGTCTTCGTCATCATCGTCATCGCGATGCTCCCGCTGAAATGAAACAACTTGCCTATATAAATAATTGTTTTGCAGCAGTTGCTCATCTAACTGAACGCACGTGTATGCTTCAATAACTAAGAGTGAGTGAACGAACGAACGAACGAACGAATGAACAAATGAACGAATGATTCAAACGACAAAACGATTTCTGCATTTAGTAACATGATTGTCTGTGAGTTATTTTAGACTTTGATAATTCTAAATAGTATATATTTAAAATTATTTTATCAAAATATATATTATATCAAATTATAATGGTTCGATAGATCGTCTGTTTCAAATTGTTTGACCCAAGTGCGTTATAAAAATAATGAACCTTAATGATATTCTAATGTTAAAAGTTGCACATCAATAGTACATGTATGTTTAACCTAACTAACTACTTATCACTAAACAGCGTTTGAAATTAAAGTTATCCGCAACTGCAATAGATTAATTAAATTAAACTTTTTTTATAGTTTTAAGAAGTTTTCCTCCTAAATATTGTTAAATTAAATTTTTAAAAATGACTTTAATTTTAATGATGGGAGAGTAAAAATCAATAGACATTTGAGTTCAAAAATTATAATTTGAAGAAGAACATACCTGTCCAAGAGGAAAACCAAAAAGGTTGTTGATGTCATTGATATTGTTGATGTAGTTTTTAATGTTGCTGTTATTATTAATTATTGTTGATGTTGTTGTTGTTGTCATTGGTGTTGTTGTTGTTGGTTTTGTTGGTGTAATTGTTACTGTCATTAATGTAGTTTCTGATGTTGTTATAATACTAATAATAATAATAATAATTATTATTATTATTATTGTTATTAATATTATTATTGTTTTTGTTATTGTTGTTTTTGCCAATGTAGTTGTTCATGGATTCAGATAATTGTTTTGCTCGTTATGATGTAAGTAAACGTGCTATTCACTCTGAAGTTAATGTAATTGCATTAAAAATTAATTACCTCTAAATTGTTTTTTTTGACATATAATAAAAATTTAAATTACTTAATTAATGAGTTATTGCCTGAATGAATGAACAAAATTAAAACAAAATGAATGAATGAATGAATGAATAATCGAAAGAATGAACACACACACCGGACACAAACACGCACACACACACGCACACACACAGAGAGATACATAAACACACATTAAACACACAGAAAGCACAATGTTTGTTCTCTATTTTTCTCACTACTGCATTTATATTGCACCATCAACCGAATGAACTGATTCTACTGTCTAAGTGCTGTCTTTGATAATTCAAACATTATTAATTTTTTGAAGAATGAATGAATGAATGAATGATTGAATGAATGATTGAATGAATGAATGAATAAATAAATTAATGAATTAATCAAAAAATAAATGACAGAATGATGGAATGAACGAAAATGTTTGAACAAGCTAGGAAACTTAAAGTGCATTATCTATTCAAATGCTGATCGTCGCGACTCGGTGTCGTCGGCTGCCAGGGCTTCAGTGCAACTCTGCACGCTCCTCCCTCTTTTTAAAATTATTTTTCTCAGATATTTTTTCATTCAAATTGCATTTCCTGGTCATATTTGGAATTTAAAGAATAGTTTTCCTCTGTTTAATTTGAATGATTTGTTTTGAAACTTCTTCATAACTTCGAATTGCTTTTTGCGTGATGGGAATAGTAAAACTAAAATACCGCTCTTAATCTTTATACATTGTATATTTTACCAGAACAAATTATATTTGTTAGAAACACGTGACCAAACCCTAATTTATCTTGTCAACATTTCCAACTCCATACATCATCACCCTTCCATACATCTCAATTGAGCTCATTTGCTGGTTCAGTTTGTTTCTTTTATAAAGTGACTGCCTAAGTTTGGTTAGTCTCTTGAATGTGGTGCATGACTCGCTCGTAAGCTCTAAGTTGTGATATCAAAATGATGAGCGATGATATACGATGAATAATCATGAGCTAATGATATTGATGGTGATGTGATGGTGATAGTGAAATGCCGCTGATTGCTATGATGATGATCATCATCATCATAGCAATCAAGAGCATTTTAGGATATATGTATAATTATTATATATATATATATATATATAAATATATATATTCTTTTACGTGATTGGTATTCACAAAAATGAAAACTGAACGACAATTCAGCGTAAGGTTGAATCGATTATTTGTTGGAAATATTCAAGCCTGCCAACGCAGAATGTTTCAGTCAGTCCTTTCTCGGCGGCCCCAGCAAACAACTGCAATGGTGACGACTAGGGCAATTCAATTGCATGTCGTCATCCTATTCTGTCCAACCTTACAAGACCCCGCAGTCTACCTGGGCTTAATTTGAAGACGGGCAAGATGTAAGAATGCTTCAGGCACGCACGCAAGTACTTCAACGCAGACATCATAGTAAGAACGTCACTCATTGTTGAAACTGACGACCGCTAGACAGTGATTTACCGCGCTACCAGTATGTTGAAGGATCGATAAAAATTAAAATTGAAAACTGTAGATGCTGATGATGAGATGATGTTTTGTATTCTAACATGATAATGATGATGATGTCTTGTATATTAACATGAAGATGATGTCTTGCATACTAACATGATGATGATGATGATGATGTTTTGTATACTACTAACATACTATAATCAAATCTTATTGATGTTTAATATGATTAATGGCTCTTTTCGACGATGATGACGCTGGTAGAAACGAAGATGGTACAGAAGATGAAGAGGATAATAATGATGATGAATACAATTATAATTATCATCGCGTCTTTTGTTACAATCACAGGCGCTAAGAACATTCAGAGGATTTGCAGCATTTCATATCAATCATGTCGGATTTTAATGTTGAAAAAAATTGTCCAAATGGGTTGAATTTTAACTTTTTTCAAAGTTCCAAAATTGACATCCCACGATTTTTTAAGTGAAATGGCAGACGATTCCAGATCTTGGGTTCCGTGTTAGCAAAATATCTTGAACCAACCAACAGAAAGTAGAGTTTGATGCACAGATCATTTGATCGCAACGTGTAACACAGCGAGGGAGTACTTCCGAGAACCATCCCATCTATAAAATACTTTGAAACAAGTCCATTAATGCATTTGTAGAATAGCAAGGCAGTTTTAAGATAATCCTCTGTTGAAGATAACGATGACGATGGTGATGACGATGACGATAATGAGGGTGAAATGATGATGAAGACGATGCTGATGATGACCATGTTGATGGTGAAGATGACGATTACAGTTAGGAGATGATGATATCACGAATGCGTGAATTGTAAATAACTTCATTCAGTTTGTTAATCTATTTTTTCTTTGAATCTCATCCATCACGAACTCACAAACGCTGGATTTCAATGAAATCTACATGACAGTCTCTCTCTCTTTCTCTCTCTTTCTCTCTCTCTCTCTCTCTCTTTCTATATATATATATATATGTATGTATGAAAGATTTTTGTCGCCAGGAGAGCCAGATGGAGTTAGATAGGTTGGTGCCAAAGATGGCGAGGGATGACTATGGAGGCGTGTTGCAGGAAAGTGAGGAGATGCAAGCAGGTCAGCTTGTTTATTTAATAATTTTTGTTTATTATGTTTTATGTCTTTTTCCTTATGTAGTTTAAATCATTAATGTTTATTTTTATATTGGAGTGTTGGCTGACTTTATTTTTAAACAGAGTTTATTAAATTCAAATTTAATATAATATTAAATTTTTGTTCGTGAGTTTTGTTATGGTATTTTTGCTATAAAAACGTAAAGATTGCTTGTTATATCTTGACAATTATTTTGATGAACAATTTTTGGCAAATTAAATTTTTAGAGAATTTAAAATGTTGTTTATTCCAAAACTTAGCCTCACTGTTTGTTGTTGATACAATTTTGAATACATACCCATGAAATCATTGACATTCAACAAGTTAGAAGTAAGCAGTGAAACAGTTGAAAATTAAAATCTTTTAATAAATGGAAAATTCTCTTAGTGTGGCATGCATTTAAAACTAAAGCATTATGCTTATGTTTATAATGATTGATTTGACTTCACTGAACAACTCGCATGCCAGTTGCTCCCGACTGATCATTTTTTTATTGCTCTGATTTATGGTCCATCTAGCCGAAACTTGTCGATGTTTTGTTGTTCGAATCGACTCTGCTGCTGGGTTTTATGTTTAAGGACGAAGTAATTTTTTAGTATTTGTTTTATTTATTATTTATAAAATAGTTAAATCCCGTGATGAATATCCACTCATAATGTTCATATCGTGAATAACAGACTAAATATTTTCTCATTGATTAAAATTTTAGCATTTTAATTTTTCGATGTTGCAGGCCGTTAATCTTCTTTTGATTACTCTAGCTGTTTGTTAAAAATTAATTTGTAAGGTTTTGAACAATCCCTTTTTGACAACGCCATCCAATGTTTAAATGATGATTCATCAGTTGCTTCTGCTCACTTTACAAGACCTTCCTATGCTTAAATTATTTTTTAATAATGTCTGCTGACTTAGTTTTTGTGTTTATAATAAACTAACAGTTGATAATAACATGATAACTATGGTACCGATTCAGCGGTCACCAAAGAATCTTTAAAGATTTTGGACATGACACCAAGCGCGTTACATTATTAGTATTAGATCATCAGGCAATTTGCTATATAATGATATGGATCCCAAAACACATAAATACATTTTTTAAAAATGTATAACAATTTAAAAAAATCCTTCAAGTGCATAATAAACGATCATTCAAATAAATTTTTTGATAAAAAATTAGATGATATATATTTTTTATGTCTTGATATGAAGCAGATGTTGCCATCAATCCCATGGCAAAACAACATTCGCAACAAGCAACAGCTTACTCAAATATGAATTAATGGGGAATGGGACTGATTGAAAATATTATACAAACAAACAAACAAGCAAAACGAACAAACCAACTGATAGACAGACAAACGAACAAACAAACAAACAAACAAACAGACAAACAAATGATTAGTAATGATGTATCAATTAAATCCCAGCAGATGGCGGATATTTTGGATGCACAAGCGAGGAGCTGCAGACGCTGATGAAATCAAAGGGCGAGGGTGCCGGGAAAGAATTGAAAGAAAAATTTGGTGTAATTGAGAAACTTTGTGAGGCACTTAAGACGTCAGTCACGCAAGGTTCATATCAATCTCTTGATATATTATCCCATTATTTTCTCAATTTGATATTTGTTATTTGCTAAGAAGTTGGCACAAAATTACCAAACGAAGTATAAGTTGTGAAAACAGTAGAAAAAAATTGTGAATGTTACATACACTGATAGGGACCAATAGACGGAGCAACTAGATACACTGAGGATGAAAGTTAATACAAATACAATGTAACTTTCTGATTCAATTAAACATTTTTAAAGTACAATGTATCAAAAACATTTTTTTGCTAAAAACCGGAATGTTTTGAAATGAAAAAGTACCAAAATAAATTTATAACTAAAACAGGCATCCGAAGTCCAACATACATATATTTTGATAAGTAGAAATAACTACTTTTGAACAGCATGTCTCAATCCTGAAATACTCAAGTTTACGAAAGCTTGCTAAAAGTGCTTGAGAAGTGCTCTTTATTAACTTTTTTCAAATAAAAGAATGATATTTGATTTGTTATCAATTAAGAGTTTTAAATGGATTTTTTTGCATGTGAAACCCACAGCCAAGCCAGATTTAAATATAAATATCAGATAATATAATAATATATATATATGTACCAGTCAGAAAATTAAAAACTTCAAACATAACTACAACAAAAATCTGCTGATGCTTATTTTATTCTAACAAAAAAAACTAAACTATTTCATCTTATTATTCTTATTATTCTTATTATTCTTTTATTATTAGTTTTAGCCGGATAGCCGGATCCAAATCAATTTGGTTTTCTGCACATATGTTCAACTGATGGATGTTTGTGATAAAAATGAGTGATAGATTCTGTATTGTATGGATTTAAGAAAAAATATCCTTTCAATCAAACGATTTTAAAATGGAAAATAATTTATTTTCTGCAAATACAAAAATTGAGCACAATCTTTTTTTTACAAATTACAAAAAAATATCCAGCACAGGGAAACATGTAATTGCAGCGTACTATGTACTATGGATGTATTATGGTATATTTCAATGTTAAGGCAGAAGCGTCAAACAGAGAAATGCTTTTAAAGAAACGAATGACAACCGCAAAATTCTAATTAATATTTTAAATGTGCTAGTTAATTAATGTGTCCTTACGAGCGGCAAAATAAAAAATAAAATAAACAGTTAAAAAAGAATATAAGTTCAGTTAATTCAATTTGAGATTCGTTAATATTTTTGAATTGAAAAAGTTTTGCATGAGTACTTTTAGTTTGACATAAAAAAGTTATGTGTTACAATTGCAAAACATTATGTCAATATTTGAACAAGCGCTTCAACTGTTTTAACAATACAATTTTTGAGTAAACAGATGATTTAAAATTTTTTAACACTTTCATTCAGGTCTAGATCCCAGCAATGTTTTTGATATGAAACGACGAAAACAACATTTCGGAAGTAACGAAATCGAACTTAAAAAACCAAGAAACTTTTTTTCATTTGTGTACGAAGCGATAAAGGATCAGACGCTCATCATCCTCACCATTGCCGCTTTTGTTTCCATCGTCTTAGCCATATATGAAAGCATTTATTCCGCAAGTTGGTTATCATGTGCCTACAGCTGTGTACTGTACATAATTGTTGGCTCTGTCGATGAATCAATCCTGTTCAAACAGAGGCTCATGTTTGCTGTTAACGTGCACTCCTTAAAAGCATTTTGTTTGTTGTGTGATTATAAAACTTGCCATGCGCAAAAAACCATCAAGAAAATGTGAATATCGATAATAAATGAATAATCATAATAAGCAATGTTTGAAATAGAAAGTAACAAAAATCATTTTCTGCAGAAAAAAACAACGTGAATGCCTACGAAGATTCAGAAAGTGGCTTGATCGAAGGTCTCGGTATTTCAGTAGCTGTGGTCATTATTGTCCTCGTGACCGCCGGCATAAACTACAACAAAGAGAAACAATTCAATGGGCTGCAGAAGAAGTTGAACGAGCAGGTGAAGTGCTTCGTGCTGCGGGCTGGTAGGACCACTGAAATATCAGCCTTTGATATCCTTGTCGGAGATATTTGCATCATTAAAATCGGTTCGTGCTGTTTGTCAAATTTTTCTTTGTTTAAGCACGAAATTAAATTGTTGCTTCATGTTTGTATTTGTAGAGGGTTTGGAGGCATTTGTTTCATTTTTGTCCTCCGCAAAAATTTCGTTTTACCATTTCTAAACTCACTGTCCTATTTGTTCACATTGGCCTACATTTCAAATAATTCAAAATATATGCTTAAATACAAATAAAAGCATTTTACAGTTTGATTCCATCAAAATTCAATGGTTTCATTTAAATGTAATGTACTGAACTAATACTTGCTTGTAAACACATCCTTGATGGTTGGGCTGTATACGAAGAGGCATTAAACACAACAACAATCTGCAAGAAATCGAAAATAGTATTTTGTTAAGTTTTGCAACAAAATTAATTTTTATATTCTATCAATTAATATCCATGAATAATTTGAAACTATACCACAATTTACTACAATTTTTTACGGTGTCGTTTGAACTTTTTTAAGCTATAAAACATTCGCACGTAATTCAACAAAAAACTAACTTAAATATAAAACTTCTGCTCATAGTTTACTCATGTTACTAGAATCGAAAATATCCTAGTATTTCATTATAACGTTGTTTACTGATCAGCACAAAGCACATGAAATACACATTAACAAATTAATTTTGTAGACCTAGAAACTTAATATTTAAAGAAAAAATAAATGAAAAATGAATCAGATTTCGAGCTATTGTCTCTCGTTAGTTGGTCCCCACATCCGCACTCTTTCAAATAAAATCTAGTAAAAACCACCTTGAAATCGTATATAATTTGTTACATTTCATTTATTTATCCGCAGTCGATCGAATTTAAATGACAAATTTTTAAATTAATGTCAGGAAAAATAACCAAGCAGCTTGAAACATATTGGATGAAAATGAAAACGTGAAATCTGTTTTAAGAATTTTATTTAATTGAAACGAGTGCTCGTGGCTTCGAAAACTAAATTTTTTAGTAAAAAGTTGTTAATGGATATGCATTGTTATATTGTCTAATACTATAACAAAACTTAAACTGTAAACTTGAATAACGCTAATGTAAACACATAAACATGTACATACATGTTAAAGAGAGCGTTCAAATGTGTTGGAATGCGTTGAGTCTTAAAAGTATTTTAGAGATAACTCTCAACATAACTCTCTTTAACTTATGTGCTCGCGTATTATATAGTAGGAGACCTTGCTCTCTAGAGCTTAACTAGTTTTCTAACTCCTTCTAACCAGTCAGTCTCTATTGTACGTCACCTCATTCTTATTATATAAAGTATTATGTATTCTGATTAATTATACGTTATATTATCTCATATTAAGCTGCTTTATGTCTGTAAATTTGCTGTCTCGTTATAATTACATACCAACTTTAACATATATCTATATATAACCCATATTTACTTAATTATTTATTTTTACGTATTGGTATAATTGGCAAATGTGATAACAAAGAAACCAGCTCATTGAACTGGTCTAAAGTTGAGACGCGATTACAGCAACCTGCTCCTGGCGCCATCTACTGATCTGCGGATCTGATCGAGAGACATCGCTGCGTCTTGACCAGTTGTTTGGAATGGTCTGCCAAATTCGCTTAGAATGCCTGGGTTGAAGACTGATGACCTAAAAAAAAAACCTAAAAAGACATTTATTTTCGTTATATTATAGATAATACATATTATTTTGAAATGATTAGGCCATTCATTTATTTTATTATTTTACTGTTATGAGTTGTGCTTTTGAAAATTTTTGATTTTTAGGCGCTTTATAAATTTTGTTATAATAATAATAATAATAATAATAATAATAATAATAATAATAATAATAATAATAATAATAATAATAATAATAATAATAATAATGGAAACGATCTTTTATTTAGCAATAAAAAACAATAAAAATGACAGTACAAATAAAATAAAATAATGAAATAAAATAAAGTGTCAAATTCAATAAATAGAGTATTAATCTGAGAAGCTAATCATTCGAATCGAGAAAGTACGACCAGACTTAATTAGTTTTAAAATTAATTCATTTCACATTTCTGTCGCAATAGATAGCGTACGACGATGATATGGCAGAGTTTATGAGGTTATTGCAAAAATAATCAGTCCAAATAATATTTATTAATGAAAGATTAAATGTTTTAAAGAGACCTAAAGTAGATATTTCAAATGTATTTACTGTTATTTTTAAATGTTTTAAGTTTTAATAGTAATAATAATAATAATAATAATAATGATAATAACAATAATTAATAATAATAATAATATAATATGCATTAAACAAATTTTTGAATTCTAAATGATATCATGCATCAGCATACAGAGAGATGCTTATTTTAAAGCAGGATTAATAAACCGATTATAACAGTTTTTATAAGCAATCATATAATTAATATCCCATCGATCAAACAAATTCAACAACATCTGTCCTACGACAACTGGTTTAAAAATTTGTGTTAGCTTATTTAATCCAAGCACAGGTGTACGTATCCAATGTATATCATATTTTTTTCTACTTTTTATTTGAAAAAATATTTGTATGTAAAAGTTTGCACGACCTACAGCACTTCATCTCGAATCTGCCGCTCTTTCAACAGGTGATGTCATCCCAGCAGACGGCATGATCGTGAGGAGTGTGGACCTGCTAGTGGACGAGAGTTGCCACACCGGAGAGTCAGATGAGGTGCACAAAGATTCAGAGCACGACAGTATTCTATACTCTGGTCTGATCTTCATTCAGCCCGTCATTGTGCCAACCTAAAAAAATTTTCTCGTTATACCAAAATTAGCATGAACATTTGTGTATCTGATTATTATAAACTGAATATATAGAAATACATAACCAAATTTTCATATTTTTATTTTATAATTTTTTATTAAATTTGCATAACACAGGGACCCATGTGATAGAAGGAAGCGCGCACATGTTGGCCCTTGCAGTTGGCGAGCACTCGCAGAAAGGAGCCATATATTCCTTGCTGGGAGTCACTTACGACAGTGTATGTACTTGGATGTTTATTTGCTTGCAAAGATTTCTAATTATAATTTACTTCAATTTTCTTTCATTTTAATTTTATTTTTTCCAGATAAATAAGTCTGAACAAAAAAAGTCAATTCTCCACTCCAAACTATGTACAGTCACCAACTGCATAACTATCGGCGGTTAGCTTCTGCTGGCTTTCGAGCGTTCCAGTTGCGAGTTATCAACTAATAAAATTAATTTTGTTATTTTATTTATAGAAATTTTTTGCAATTATTAACCGTCACCTCATAAAGTTTTTAAACAAACATAATTTTTTATCTCTTCAGAAAAAGTTCCTAAAAAAAATCAATTATAACAAACTTAAAAAAGTGTTATAACGTTAAATAGATTATTCAGATTTCGCAGATTGATTAATTCATCGCTTCAGACAAACTTGAACTTTAATTTTTATATATTCTTCTATTTTTATTTATTTCTTCCTTTGTTTCCATGATGTCAATTATAGCGAGGACGCATCAGCTGCTTGCAATGGTGCTTCATAAATGACATTATGAATTATTATTGTTATTATTAATATTGTTATTGCTGTTATGAATTATTATTATTAATTTTCAAAAACAAAAATTCACACAGGCACTGTTATTGCCCTGCTAACGTTTGCCATCCTACTTATCAGATACTGCATTCAGAACTTTTTAGTTCTTCACAAAGAATGGAGCATTGACCACTTCCAGAACATCATCAACTTCCTCATCATCGGCATCACCATCCTAGTCGTCGCCATTCCAGAAGGTCTGCCTCTTGCCGTCATCATGGCACTCGCATTCTCCATTAAGGTTCAATTGTTTTTTTAAATTTAAAAGTTAGTACACCATGTGTCTTGAAATTGATAAGTATCAAATATTTTTAAATTATCAAATGTTTTTATTGTTTTAGAGAATTTCTTACAATCTTAATATTAATTTTTGAATTCAATTTGGCATCAAATTGCAGCAATACCGAATCTTTACAATTATTAATGTTTGACAAAACTTCCAACTCGAACTGAAAGAAAATGATGAGAGACAACAACTTAGTCCGACACCTTGATTCATGTGAGACAATGGGCAGTGCCACCATCATCTGCTCAGACAAGACAGGCACGCTCACAACTAACAAGATGACTGTTGGCTACTGCTTCGTTGCTGGTTAACAAATTCATCTTTAAAATTACATTTTTTACTATTTTCGTTTATTCTTGTTTACATTAAAAACAATTAAATTTTAAAATATGTTTGTGCAATAAGATGAAGAATTAATGTCAGAAGAAATGGATTTAAAATAACGTTTGCATTAACATTTTGAATAATTTTTCTAAATACCATCTGCATACAGTTTGACTCATGTTGTTATAACTGTTGGTCTGCAATAACATCAAATTGACAATTTAACTTTAATTTTTAAAATCATAGATTTTATTGCACAAATATTTAATAAATAGAGTCTGCAGTTTGTTTATGACGTTTTCTGCTTTAAAGATCGCCAATTTTTATAAAATTGTTTTCAAAAATGAAAACTGTCATGTTAATTTTAACATCTCTTGCTAATTAAGATAAACCTGGTGCCCCGGAAGATGTCGTGGTGGAACTTAAAGACGAACTGAAGGAGCTGATTGCCAGAAGCGTGGCCTTCAATCTCGGAGCCACATCGCAAGTTACAGTAAGTAAGCAACGCCTATCGTCATTGTTTTATTAGGTTCTGAATGTTTTTTGGGAAAATTGAAAATAATTTCTTAAAGCAGATTGTTTGCATGAACTACTTTGTACATTAGGCTCAAAACGTGAATGACTGCATGTGATAAAAATGATTTTCGAATTGACGGTGCTTCAGTTGTTTCAAAAAGAAAATTTACATAAATTAAAATAATAACACATCTTACGACACCCTTTTTAATAAAATAGAAAATTAAAATTACGCAACCTGGTTGTCGTTTTTGTTGAAATGATCATAAACGAGGTAGGAGCATAAGTTTGTTGGGAATTTTGCAGGAAGATGGCTTCAGTCAGACCGGCAACAAGACAGAATGCGCCCTTCTTGGCTTCATCAAACTTCTCGGCTGCAACGACGCTCAGCTCATCAAAAATGGCTCAGAAGCGTCAGTCATCAAAGCTTATTCATTCAACTCGCAACGAAAGTGGATGGGCACGGTGGTCACTGCTGCTTCTTTCCGCGGCATCCAGGAAGGTGCACACGATAGAAACCGCAATGAAGCCACACTTGTTGTTAAAGGAGCGGCTGAAATTGTTTTCAACTGGTTAAACTTTCAATTTTAAAGAACTTATTATTAAATTTTATTTTAAATAGAAGTCTGAACCGTTAATTAAACATTAAATAACAGTTGCTCTCACATTATGAACGAAAATGGTGTGCCGGAAGTTCTAACCGATTTGAAAAAATCTGAAATTGTTGAGAAAAACTTGAATAAAATGGCCGAAAATGGGCTGAGGACTATTTGTTTGGCTTACAAAGAGTTCACCAATCTTCCTGGTTTGTTGATTCTTCTGCTTGCAAGATTTTGTATTCGTTATTTGACAGCTTTCACACACAAGTTCAAAACTGCGTAAACACAATTTCTTACAATGGAGCACGTAAGCTGTAACATTCAAACCATACAACTTGCATGCACATACATATTCGTATGAAAAAGCAAGCACCGCATCAGTCAATCACATGAGGCCTAAAGTCAACGCATGAACGTCATAGATACTGAACGTCTGAGATAACTCGCCAACTGTTGCATCAAAGTATTGTCCGCAGGGTATCTGGCGTGTCGGAATTTACAGTATTGGTTGTAAATACAGAATTATAAAAATTTATCGATTTGAAACTTCAACATTTTTTTCATAAGAATCTTGGAATTGGAATGAAGAAGAGAAAGTGATGAACAACTTGACCTGCCTGGCGCTTGTTGGCATTGAAGATCCAGTGAGGCCTGAGGTTCGTTAGCAGATTAACATTCTATACAGACAAATATTAACGTAACATTCAATAATACAAAAATATTCAGCAATGCGTGTTTTAATGACTTATTTTTGTTGTAAATTTTAAGTTTCCCGTAAATATGGTAGAATGTTTTAAAATAAGTATTTTAAATTGTATTTGTTTTTCAATTGAAAATTATAAATAAAAAAATATTTTTGAATGTTTAAAATTATTTTAAATGTTTGAAATATACAAAATGTAACATTATCAATCGAATATAATTTTAGATGGCACTTGTTAACTTTACCGTGCAATCTTTTAAGGTACCAAACGCCGTGGCTGAATGTCGCCGAGCCGGTATTGATGTAATCATGGTGACAGGTGACCACTTGCTGACCGCTGTCTACGTAGCTAGCAAATGTGGACTGGTGCAAGATGTACACGAGAAGAAAGATTTGCTCAGTTACGAGAAAAAGGTTAAAGTAAGCGAAAGTCCTGAAAACACTTTGATGGTTACAGCTGCTGAGTTCAACAAGATGGTTCTAGATAAGAATGGAGTTAGTAGTCACTTTGTGTCGCGTTGGTAATTTGAGATGCCTCTGCAGAATGTGTATCTTAATCAATCATATATGTTGTTAACAAGTTTAATGACAAAAAAACATGCTAAGACAACATTTTCAGCAATAAAAATTTATACTATTTAAAATAATTTGACAATATTTTCACAAAAAGACATGTTGAATTATGCGCTAAATTAAAGCCACGATATGCTTCTTTTGATCATAGTGCAAAATTTGCCAGCATTCAAATGGAAATTGAAAAAAAACTTCTTTGCAGAACATTGACCAACCAAGTTTCGACAACGTGTGGCCACGCTTGCGAGTGTTGGCCAGGGCGACACCGCACGACAAGTTCATGCTGGTCAGTGGTTTGATGAACAGCCGGACAGCCTCGCAGAAGCAAATTGTGGCAGTTACGGGCGATGGTACTAATGATGGCCCGGCTCTGAAGAAGGCTCACGTCGGTCTCTGCATGGTCAGTGCACGTTTTCTTATTTAAAAAAATTTAATTCCGAAATGTTATTCAATATGAGAAACTGATTTTAAATTTATCAAAATGTGTTTTGACTGCTACTGGTTAAACATTGTTGCACATATTTTATTAAATTGAGAAGCCATCAATCAAATAAAGTTGATATGCGGCGAGTTGAAAAATGTTTCGCAAATAGAAAATTAAAATGATGAAATGTGGCCGTAGGGTATCTCAGGGACTGAAGTGGCGAAGGAAGCGTCAGACATCATTTTACTCGATGACAACTTCACGTCAATTGTTCGGGCTGTTGTCTGGGGTAGACATGTCCATGATAGCATCGCCAAGTTCATACAGTTCCAACTGACCGTCAACCTGGTTTCCATTGTCATTGTTCTGCTCGGTGCTTCCATTTTTACAGTAGATACTCGCTACCTCAAAACTATTTTGATACTTAATTTTGTTACTAAAAACATTTTTACAAATCATTTATGAAAGTTTAAAGTCAAAAGATTGGAAATTATATTGCAACAAATTCTGCTTGCATTTTTAATGTTTTGAAAAGTTTTAAACAAACAATCAAACAAAATTTTGTAGTAAAGTAAGTTACATATTAGTTATTTATTAGTTAATTATTTTGTTTAATTGCAAATCTGAAAAGTTGAATATTCCAAACAAATTTAAAACATGTAACGAGTCCAGTTATAAAATTAAAATTTTTTGTCGTAGTTGAGCATTGTTGAAATTGTGAAAAGTATATATTTTTAAATTTTTATAACAATTTGGAATTGTTAAAGATGCGATCTTTGAAACGTGTTAACAAAAATTCGTTAGTAGTTTTAAAATAATTGTTTTTTTTATTTTTTCAACGTAACAAGGACTCGCCCATTCGGGGCGTACAAATGTTGTGGGTGAACTTGCTGATGGATACTCTGGCATCTCTGTCGCTGGCAGCAGAAGAACCAGCGTGCGACCTGCTGAAGAGGAAACCTTACCAATCCGAGGACTCCATCGTCAGTGGCGTCATGCTGTCCAAGATCGTTGGACATGCATGCTACCAACTCGCTATTCTCCTTCTTATTTTATGCTTTGGTTGGTTTTTGTTTGGTTTGTGAAATTACTTTTTAATAGATGTTCATTATTTTCAAACTGGTATTCAACTTTTAAAAACTTGAATTGACAAATTTATACTCAATTTTTTCTCAAGCTCAAGATTTAATTAGAGCAAATGCTAAAAATGCAATCGCTGTTTTGTTCTTCATCTTTAATTTTGCTTCATATGATATGTAAAAAATTGAGGCCAAATTATTATTTAAAACAACAATCTTCCATGCCACCTACCGCAGGTTACAGATGGGTGGGTGTGGATGCCGGGTTCTCATCATCCTCGTACGGCAGAGCCAACATTCACTACACTTTCCTGTTCAACACGTTGGTGCTGATGACTCTATTCAACGAGATCAACTGCAGAAAGATTGACACGAGTTTCAACGTCTTCAGTGGTCTTCACAGGAGTCTCCTTTTTGTCATCATTTGGACCATGTCCTTTGCCGTCCAGGTTAACATTACTATGAATTGTTGTTAAGAAATATTTCAATATAATAATTTGTAGTTGGACTAAAATTTTAATGTTAATCATATTTTGATATTTTGTTTAATTGGTGAAGCAACCCTTTTCGTAAAATCATTGTATAGTTCATTAGGTAACGTACAAATCTAATGGTGAACCAGGATAACACCAAACAACCAATACCAATGTTCACCACCCAGGTCATAATTGTTGAGTTTGGAGGTTCCTTGTTCAGCACCCACCCACTTCCTCCAATACTCTGGGCCGTCTCTTTGCTGCTCGGAGCCAGCCAGCTCATCTTCGGATTGGTCGGTTTAGTCATTTGTTGTATTGATAAATATGTTCTGAATTTTCTACTATTTGCAATAAATTATTTACAATAGTTTTAAAATTGTTTCTTATCATGTTTGGAAAAATATCATCTTTGAAATCTTTCATTTTTAATGGATATTTTAAGAAAAAGTTAGTTGATATGAATACTAAACGGTTGTTCACCAGTTTGTTCGTAAGAACTAAGAAGGTGATTCATTTCAAAGTTAACACGTTTTCTCTTTATGAACTTCTCTTCTAGCACGAGAGCATGAGCTCAACTTATTTAGTTACTTGTCGGCTTTTCTCAGACAATGTGGATAGTCTCATATCTTCCATTGTTGTTATTGCGTGATGACCTAAACCAAGCCTTATCTGTGCGTGTATGCATTGCACAACTCAAAATCCGTTATAAGCCTCGTAGGAGTATGGCGCGAAGTTTGCGCAGTTAATGGACGCACTTGAATAATATGAATTTACAGCCTTCGTGTCAGTTAATGTTTGATGTAGCTAAGAAACATTTTGTAAGCTTCTTTTCTTTTCTCAAAACTGCGTGTTAACTAACTGAAATCTTTTATTCAGTGATTTTGTTTTGAGTTAATGCAGTGATTCACAATAAATAACCCCTAAATAAACGTAACTTTTTTATTATTTAAGTTTTTTAACATTTACTAAATCTTTAAAGATTCTAACGACCACATTGCGAATAGTGTCGAAAATCTGGAAAAAATACCGTACCAGCTCCAAGACAGAGTATTCAAAATTTCATTAAAAATATCTTCTACGTATAACCTAACAAACCATTTATGCTTTATCATTGACTTTCCAGGTACAACACAATGAGCTGCTGAGAGCGCGCTCGGAAGCATTTGTAACTAGCAAATGCCATATTATCAATTTTGGTTAATCGAAAATAATATTCCTTAAAATAAAATATGGTTTAAGTAGGAATGGTTATTGTAAAATTAAAAATAAGAAATTGTTATCATTACTACAAACATATTTTCATCGATCTGTCATAATATCAACGGAATCAACAAGTTTTTTTAGAATTTCTTTCTCACGTTCGAACAAAATTTTTAAAAGTTTAAATATTCTTCTACTTATTTATTTATTCGTATGTATATATATATATATATATATATATGTGTGTGTGTGTGTGTGTGTGTGTGTGTGTATGTGATCCAAAGACGTAGATAAAACAACGAATGGATAATATATATCGATACGTTGCTTGCTTGTTCACTTGAGCCAATTAAATTATTTTTAAACATTTGTTATTTCCAGTTTAATAGAAAGCCTGATTTGAATGAGATAATTAATCCCAGAAAGTGTCTCACAGACTTTTATTGGATCACAGGCTATGGCTGTGCGAGTTGTAATAAACGAATAATAATAAAGTCAAACAATTTCGATAACGTTTATAATCAAACGAAATAGAAGTTATAAAATTGTTGACAAACAGCTAAGCTGCTCAAAAAGTAATTACATTATATAAAAATCAAAAACTTACGACAAAAATAATAAAGTAACCTCGTTCAAAAAGCAATGTCAATAAAGTCAAGCAGTTCAAACAATTATTGCAATTAATTACCAACAAATTATAATAATAATGATTTTTAAGTAATAATAATTACTCTCAGATCAGACCGTTAAATAAATTTATCGTTAAACAAATTGAGAAGAATTCATTTGCTTGTGAGTTTTTTCATGATTTCTGTATGAAAATTTCAGATGGTAAGTCAAATCAATCAGTAGCTATTTTAGAAACTGTTGTTGCTTGCTGTCAGATAAAACTTTCCGACTCCCTGCTCTGGGCTGGGTTTGGCTCCCAGAAAAATTTTCATGCAGTTTTTATAATTTTATTCAAATGCTACTACTAAATAAAAGATATTAAATAAAAACTTTTAAAATCAGTCAATGTTATTGATTTTCAAAGAAAAATTAATTTACATTTATGTGTTACTAAATGATAGTAAAGAAACTTTTACATTATTATACACTTCTCATGTAACGTTAGAATCAAAAAAATTGCTCGTGCAAAATATATCATTGGAGTCGGAAGAGAAAAAAAATCACATTACGTCTTCAACTTTGGCTCCTCAAAATATTCCGACTCCAACAAAAACTTCCGACCTACTCCGATTCCCTGGTTGTGAAACCATCATTTTTTGTCTCAAATATTTCTTACTATCTTGAAATATTTGCTAGATGATTTTATCCAGAATGTTTCTCTACTTATTAATACAATACCAAAATTTTGGCCTAACCAAATCAAAACGTTTCAGCACATAACGATTGATCGTCCCATTTTATTACGACTTCAGCTGGGAGCTGAACGAAACAAATTTGCTCTTTTTGAATTAATTTTGTCTTTGTATCTCAACTGGCATGTCTAAGAGAAGCTTTTTTTTGTTTCTTCTTATTTTAATTTTTCAAGTGTCATAGACTACCTGAAAAATTTGATAAACATTACTCTGCGGAATAAGATTCAACTTTACAAAAACAGCGACTTCAACCACTTATGCCTACGTTGAACTTTTATAAACAAAATGAATTTAATTGAAAATGAATAGATTTACACCATCTGCACGGAGTTAATTTACATAAAAACGTAAACTGACCATTACAATCCATCCGCCCATTATTTTTTATGTCCACCAGTTTGACCATCTCTGTGACGTCATCGTCATCAAGAGGTTCTCCGTGGGTCTTCAAGATGTTCCTCATCTGGTTGCCATATTGGCAAATTGTTGTTACACATTTTGCGCTATATAATTTATTAATGATAAATCATAACAATTCATAAAAATCAAAAAAGTGGCTTAAAATATTTAAATAATTTTCAGCAACGTGTTCTAGGTATTTCTATAACTAATGTTTCAGCAAACAATTTGTTACATGCTATAATATATCTCTTATCATGCTTAAACTGCTTTTTTAAATTGTTAAAAAATTGCAATCAAGCATTAAATGAAAAATGCTAGAAGGCGGTAACTATCAATACTTCCTGTGCGTCCAGCCAGCCATTTCCTTCTTTGTCAAAATACCTGGAGAACGTTAACAAATGTTCAACATTTTTGAAATTCAAAGAAATATTTGCAACAGAAAGTTTGTAGTGACCTCAAGGCGTCTTCAAGTTCCTGGGCCACCTCCACCTCATCCATCCACCCTCGTTGTCCTACTGCTTTCACGAACTCGTCAAATGTTAAACAGCCTGTGTCTGTATGTGTTGTGTGTGTCTATGTGTGTGGTGTGTGTGTGTGTCTGGTGTGTGTGTGTGTGTTTGATGTATGTGCGTATTCTCCCACCAAAGATAATTCACGTTTATCAAGTAAGCAGCTACCTAGAAAGCCAATATTTATAATTTATCAAAAATCTTTTTGCAAAAAATCAAAAACTTCTTTAATTTAATTTATATACCTAAAGCTGCAACAAGCAACATCACGTAAGGTCATATAAACACATAATTGTATAACACTATGCATGAAATCTGACCATCAAGTACAGCCAGCTTCAACATCTCCTGCACTTCACTTTCAGAAGGCGCCTGGCCAGCGAGTCTCAGCGCGTCGCCGAAATCGTGCGCCGGTATGGTCTCTAGACCCATCAAGTCGTACTCGTTGAAGGCCTCCCGTATTTCTAAAGCGTGCCATGGTGTGTACGATGTGGATATGTGCCGTTGTTGGTGTGTAGTGTGTGTGAGATGGTGTAGGGTCCTACTCCCGAAGTATGGGTGATGTTTGCGGTGGTGGTTCCGACGGAGGAAATGGATAAAATTATTTCCCTCCAGCGGATATCAAATTTTCAAATAATGCAAAACTACAAAAATTTTAAAAAATAGTTTGACAGAAGTTGGAGCAACTGACGTATTTAAAGAATTCAAATACAGAACAATTAAAAAGCAGTAAGAGTAAAATGTTGAACCATCAATCTGAATAATTATACTCCAACTTTTGATGAGAAGATCCAAAATTACTACTAGTAATACTACTACTGCCCCTACTACTACTACTACCACTACTATTACTACTACTACTACTACTACTACTTAAACATTCACATAACTAACTTTTTCATATCCAAAAACAAATCCTCTTTCATTATTATTTTCACCTTTCCGTTAGTCAAATCATCATTTAAAATATTTTCATGTAATGATGTTTGGTTAATAGAACATACAATGAACCACAACAAAGTTAAGTGATGGGACATAGCAGGATACTGAAACATTAAATCATCAGCTCCTCACGAGCGATTTGTGGCTCGGTCAGGTTGTATGTCTTCATGTACTGTTTGTCCTTATCAACATGCTGATCCGTCGCACCACCACCACCACCACTGCCTGTGTCCACGCTGGCTGTCTGCTGGTAGATGGATGGGATCTCAATGACCTCCGTCTGTATTGCATGCCGTGAAAATTTAAATTAGTATTTTCATAAATATTCAATGCAGTCACTATTGAAAATAGTAGTTTTATTTGTTTGCATTGACATTGTTATCTAAATTTTTAGAATTGTTGACCTAGCAACCAGATTTCAATTGCCTTTAGGTTTTTTTTTTCAAAGTTGTAGACATTCAGATGCATTTGTTTGGTTTGGCATTTAATTAAATGAGTGAGTTTAAGCTAGAATATTGAAATGATTGAAATGTGCAATAACTTCTTGTTTGTCGTGGCTGATCAAGGTTGTACGTTTGTCGAAGATTTGCTGAGACAAGATGTTTGATTAAGAGGTTAAAAAATGTCGCAAGCCACCTTTAAAAAAGATGACTGTTAATGAGTTGGTTACAAAAGATTTTATTGGCTGTTACACTTTTCCAAGTAGAAAAGTTAATGTTACCAATAAACTGTAATAATTATGCAAATATATCCACTGTGAAGTTCCCTCCGTGCTGTTGGTGAATTAAAAAATATTTTTAATGCGATTATTTGTGGATAATGCAATAATTTGGTTTTGATGAAGTTCTTATATGTCTCTATATAAGTTTTCCTTTATGTTTTGTTATGCTCATGCCAGGACCAAAACATTAAAAAATTAACAACACCAACAACACACCAACCAACTCAAAAAAAACTAACTTGTTTCGTATTTAACTTGCCATTCATCATTGCTACTGTTACAAGTCACTCGTTTCTTCTTGATTTCAACTCCTGATATTTACAAATCTATGATTAGCAGCCTTAAAATATTGTGCAAAATTTTGTCGAATATAATGTCCAGAATGTTGTTCAGAAACGCAATGGCATAAAATAAAAAAAGCTGATACGTTTTTAATGATACTTTGGTACAACGAATGTTTTACACAATACCTCATACAATTTACAAATTATTTCTGCTATTTATGTCATAAAAAATTATTGCTCATTGTGGGCCTTCGATTCTTTGAATGTAAAAATCCTCTGTTATATATTTTTAGTGTTATACACTGCATGTGTAGAAAGACAATAGAATATATTCATTCAATCTACATATTAGCATATGGAGTGCGTGCGAGCTTGCGTGCTTTCAATTGCTCTAATCGATCGAATTTAGCCATTTATATTTAATGAAGCTATTTGGCTCTATTCGACTCGTTATGTTTATTGCAGAAGCAAGTTAGCAACGGCCTTATGAGGCAATTTTCAATGACATCATTCAGTGGCGGATCTAGACAACGCTGGCGAGATGAGAGGACCAAAAAACTTGGACCCCTCTAAATCCGTCACTGACAGAAGAATTTAATGATATACAAACCAGCCAGAATTCATAAATTTAAATTCAAATTCTCCTTCCGACAAATTGGTATTTGCTTATGCGGTATGTTGTGCTGTCTGTTTTTTTCCAAACTGCTCTCGTTGGTACTGATGGTTATTACGATTCCATGTTATCAAGAGCACGATACTGTAATTAATAGTCAGAATAGCAACGTAGGCAGTGGATATTATGTGTATGTATACGTTTTTCAAATGTCATTTTGCTTGGTTTCTCTAAAAAACTTTATTTCATGTTTGTTTTTCTAAATAAATTATTTAAATATATTATTATTTTAAAATTCAAGTCTAAATACAAAAGAAACACATTTTATTATATGTCAGCATTTAAAAACAAGCAAATTACAACAAATAACAACACTTTTAATGATAATAAAAATGAAAAACTCGAATAAAAAAATTTCAAAAATACTCAAAAATTACCAGGGTGTGTGACGTATGTATGTATTTCCATTGTTGCCTACCGTTACAACAGTTTAAAAGCTAACTTAACAGATATTCATCTTCATTTGAAAAATGATAAAAGTAACTTCGGCACTTGATGAATGAATTAATAGCCTAACTTATGGGCTCTAACATGAATTGAAATTTATGGTGGCATAGTCATTAATTAATTAATTAATCAACCAATTAACGAGTTAATGAATTAATTCATTTATACATTAATTATTTATCTATTTGATGAATTAATAAATATTATAGGGAAAAAATGAGGTCATCATGGACAGCCGACAAATACTGAAAATTAAAAAAAAAACAAAACCGAACAGAAATGAAACAACACAGAAAACCATTTAGTACCAGTAAACAACAGCTGCAGCTTTCTGGAAATTTAATTTTTTCCCCATGTCCTGCTAATTTATAACACAACAAACACTGTTATTAATATGCATTTTGTTGAATACACAAACATTATATACATATACCAAAAATTATTGATTTATCCATGCTACTTTTTTGATGAACGATTCACGATTTGTATATATATATATATATATATATATACATATATATATATATATATATATATATATATATATATATTATGTATATACTTTAATATAATAATTTAATATATATACTTTAATTTAAGACACTCAACAGTTTTTCAGTGGCTCAACCATAAATGCGATTTAAAAGATATAATAATGTTTAAAGGCGAAAATAAATGTATGTACAACTTATATACACTTTGCATTGAGTAACTTTGCACGCACTTTATATAATTACTTTGCATAAGCATAACAAGTGCAAAGTATAAATATTAAATAGAAATAATAACATTTATCCAGTATTCCATAGGCATGCTTATAAACAGTAGAGCACGTTTTGTAAACAAAATATCAGTGAATCAAAAAAAATTGATAAACCCGGTAGAATTTGATCTAATTGTTTATGCAATGTAACTGAATGGTGAGAAATTGATTCCTTATATCATTACATACCCTGGAAAATGTTTTGTTTTCCGTGCATCAGTGAAGGAGTATGGAAACTAAACGTGAAATGAGAACATTTAAAAGTAAGGATGAAGATGATTGGTCGAAGTTTACTTGCATCCAACACTTTACAAATCCAAAAAATAAATATTTTTATTCATTGAAAAAATACAAGATATTTATTCATTCAAATAATTTTTCATTCATTCATCCTTGAATTGCCCGTTAATTGTTAATTTTATTTACTCTACGTAGTTAATTTTCCAGCTCTTAAAAACAAAACTAGTAAAAATAATATTTGATTGAATGACAAAACCAATTTTGTGTTAAAAACATTCGCTTGGTAGTGCACATTCGTAAGTTTTCAGTCTGCCTGTTTCACTTGTCTGTTGGCTGCCATTTTTGGAGTTCGTTCGTGTTCACAGGCTATATGTACGTTCATAGGTTTGTTGTTCATTTATCGGCCATTGTTGTTGTAGTTATTATTGTTGTTGCTGTCGTGCAACAATCTCTACAGTGTCGTTGTTTCGATGATAGCGTGTACAAAAACGTTGCTACTTTTTACATCTTACTTCTTACAATTGTTAGCGATATCAGTTACTCCGTAGAAAAAACAAAAAGGTAAGATATTTTAAGATATTTTTGAGGCAGACATTCCTCCTATGATATAATCAATTAACTTGTTTATAGTTACATAGGAAAATAATCTGTTGACTCTCAACCAAATCGTTCAATATTTCTGCAAATGTTAGAAAAAAGGCGCTTACTTTATGGGAGAAATTGGTTTATAATTCATATATATTCTGTATAACATGTCTGAGCAATTAATCTCATTGAACATGCAGAATAATATCCGTTTTGCTCAAATGATTATTTTTTCTTGTTAACAATTTTTACAACTACTGCCACCACTACTACTGCTATTACTACTGTGAAAACAACAACAACAACAACAACAACAACTACTACTACTACAACAACAACAACTACTACTACTATTATTATTATTTTTTACTATTGTTGCTATTATTTGTATTCTTATGGTTATAATTATTGTTATTATTACTATTGTATTATTGTTCAAAAATGTTTTGCTCTGATCAATTATTATTACTACTTTTGTTATCATTATTATTATAATTATTATATCATATACATTTTACAGTTGTAAATATTGTTTACAGTTGACGATCAATTAATCAAGATCTGTCTTGAAAGAAACGTGTGGATGATGTGCCTACCAAATAAACATTTTCACCTATTCTGTTCATTGGTTTCTCTATTTAAACTTTTCTATACCTATTTACATATATATTTATCTATTTAATTAATAATTTAATTAGTTAATTAATTAATTATATACATGTTTTATTCATTCTCACTATTTTTGACAAATAATTAAATGATTAATCACCTTTAATTTATTAGCAAATTTCATTATCATATGAAAGCTACACTTTAAATGGTTGTGCTGTTAAGTACGAATAAAAATATTTTCAGCAATTTTATGGAAATAAAAAACCAAATGCGAAACATACGATTGGAAATTGACCAAAACTGTAATTTTCGTGTGTAAATAAAATTTTTTATGATTGTTATGTTAATAATTACATTTCAAAATCAACAAACTAAGAATAAAAAAGTTTATTTACATACAAACACACACACACGCAGGCACACACACAAACACAAATACACACACACACACACACACACACACACACACACATATATATATATATATATATATATATATATATATATATATATATGTATAATTAATACTTACAATAATAATAATTTATATTTTACATATTCAATGAAGAAATGTTTATTTATATACAAGTTCATTAATTTCTTGGCTTTTTTGACAAATACTCTGATGTTATGAAGTGCCACGTGTTAGATTATGTTTGTATGTAATGTAATGTGATGTAATGTAATGCTAATTAACGTAACTGTGTTGTTGTGTTGCGTGGTGTTGTGCTAACATGTTATAGTTGTTGTGATGTGATATTATTATTATTATATTATTATTTTATTTATAATGGGTCGTCTAATATTTGCATGTTCAGTAATATAGTAATTTTAAAAAAATAGATAAAATATAACAACAACAATCACAGCAACCAAATAAATTAACAGCTAATGGCCAAAAGTAACAACGGGGCAAAACACATGCAAAAAAAATTCAAATCGAGATGCAAATGAAAAAAATACAAATTGTCATAGCAAAGAGATAACCACTTAACATCACAACGTAACATAACGTCACCAATGTAACATCACAACCATGAATTATTCAATGGAAGTATTTTCACAAGCACATACCGTCTACCAAACATCGTTAGTCTATTAACACGTATACATTTCACTTATTGTTAATCAGTTAATCATTTAGTTATTCATCCAATCAAACACAACACATTTTCTCGCAGCGCCATACATTCAAACCACAATAGATTTATACCAACAAATATACAGACAAATTCACAGAGATTTCATACTATCATCAACAGATCAAACGAATCTTATTAAGAAGTAGAAACAAACAATTGTGAAACAACCACACAGATTCTTCTACAACCATGTTTTATTACAAGATGATTTCAGTAACGATTAAACACATTTATGTTTATGTTTGTATCTGTGTGTTTTCTTTGTATGTTTGTATATACGCAAATATGCAAAGGTACGCACACATACTTCGTATTTTGTGTATACATTTTGTAATACGGTTCTCTTGATACAAATCAATAGACAGAGGTGGACAATTATTTATAGGTCATAAATGAGGCAACAAACCTAAATGAAAAACTTAACACAAAAAAAATCTTTGATTTTATGAAACCACTATGCAAGAACATCCATATAATATCATGTGTCATGTTGGATGTGTGTGTGTTTGTGTGTTTGTGTGTGTGTGTGTGGTGTGTGTGAGTATGTGTGAATGAGTGTGTGTACACGAGTCAATTCTAAAAGATTAGATAGATGATATTCCAATAATCACGGAGCCCAAGAACCAGCTACAACAAACCATGCATCCTCTGTAAATTTTACCAAATACAAAAGAATATGTGCATGTGTATCTGTGTCTGTATGTTTGGATGCGTTTGTTAGTTTGCGCGTATGTGTGTGTAGGAAAATATTTGTCGATGTATGTTTATGTTTATAAGTTTATATGAATTTGGAGTCGATGTCAGTTTAATGTTGAACACAATTTTACTATCTACATTTTTGTTGATGTTTAGGTCGTTAATATTGGGATAAAGTAGTTGTTGAAATATTGGTCTTTGTTGAGGATGTTGTTTGTGTTGTTATTTGTTGTTGTTGTTATTAATGATGTTGTTATGTTAATGTCGATTGTTGTTGAACTTTTTGTTGTGGCGATCCACGTGACTGTTGCTCGCCTCATGGTAGTTGTTGTTAGGATTTTCGTGAGGTTTGTTGTTGTTGTTGTGTTTGTGGCTGTTGTTGTTGTGGTTTTTGCGGTTCTTGTGATGTTTGTTGTTTTGTTTCTGAGGTTTGCAATCGACATTGTTTTGCTCCATTAAGTTTCTGTCAAGTTGCGTATTCCCATTGTTGCCGTCCTTGTTCGAGTTGCTAAGTTTGTTGTTGTATTTGTTACTACCAATTGCACATTTTTCTTTCATATTTTCACTGTTAACGATTTTACCGTTGTTCACGTTGTCGTTGTTGTTTTCGATGTTGTGTTTGTTTTTGTGGTTGTCCCTTCCATGATTCCGATGCCTGAGCTTGAGATGTTTATTATTCTTCCTCTTAGCGTTCGTATGTTTGTCTGTAAGTGTGTTATCATCATCCGACGAAGATGGTGCACGATGTGACGGTGAGTGAGGTGGTTGCGACGAGAATGACGACGACGATAAGAAGTGACTGCTGTTGAAATAATTCAACGTTCGCTTGTCTTTAATGCTGCCCAGATCTTCGTTGTCATCATCCTCTTCGTCATCATCGTCGTCATGTATCTTAACAAAATGCTGGCATATGATATCATCAAGTCTGACATCATCATCTTCTTTAAAATAATAATTATTGAAATTGTTGTTATTGACATTTTCTTTATGGTGAGTGTTAAATCTATGGTGAGATTTGTATTCTTGATTGTCGTTGGCTGCATTTTCAGTGCTGTCTGTTTGGGTTTTAAATTGGTTGTGGTTATTGTGGTCGTTGTTGTGGCCGTTGTTGTAGCTGTTGTGGCTGTGGTGGTTGTTGCTGCTGTGTGCATAGCTGACGGCCTCGCCCGACCCATAGAATGCAAGTAGCCAGGACTTGTTGTAGAGTGAGACGAAGGACAGCATGTGGTCATCGTCCACGTACTCACCAAACTCGCACCTCCACACTGTAAATCTGGGCTGGGGTTTCAAATTTTGAATGAATTATTTGGTTTCGAATGTTCATTAAGTTATTTTTCTTATTAAATCTTTGAAATAATACAGTATTATGACCCATATTCTGTTTTCATGAAAATATAAAAATTGGAATTGAAATTCAATCTAACTTTTGTTTTGTTATTTGTTATTTTTAATTTTAAAATCTTGGATGAAATAGAAATAACTGACAACCATACAATCAACATTTTCATCAGAAGCATTTTTTCTGGGACGCTTTCGGGATAACGTGAATAACGTGAATAACATTTTTGTCATTGAAATTAAGCCCTTAAACGCATTGTTGCATCATCATCGTTTAACCATTTATCAGTCGTTTGCAAAGTTATAAACAAACACACACCACTACCGTAACAACGACGCAAATAACAACAACACAACAGCGGAACTAACAAAACACACAACAACACAACTACATCGACGACAGCAGACCAACGATCCTTGCGACAGCGAATACAAACACAACACACAGACAATTTTGATTGATTGATTTGAAATTTCCCGAATTAACAGGGTTGAATGAGTGTGGTTTCCAGCGAAGGCACCGCTTGCCATATAAACGATGCATTATAACATACATACATAAATGCATGCATGCATATATACATGTAAAATATACATACACATGTATGCGGGCGTGTAATCATGTAGGACCCTGATACAATGAAATCTGTGTGCATAACTAAAGAGATGTCAGATGTATGGTAAGGTGACCTCTGTTGAACTTTATGTGGGTGGTGGTTCCTTCGTCCGTGGGTAGGTCGGTTGGTTGAATGGCTGTTAATTCGCTAAATGATTTATTGATTAGTTAAGCAGTAGCGTGCTTGAACAAGTACTTAGCTTGTTTGTGCAATTAATTGAACGATTTAAAAATGGATTGATTAATTGGATAGTTGGCTGGTTGGCTGGCTGGCTGGCTGACTGGCTGAAGACTTCTTTTCTCGATGTTTATTAAACTTTTATTTTTGGAAAGTAGAGCTGCTTTATCTGAACGATATATTTTAACAAACTCGAAACTACAATGATTACAAATTTAATTATGAGTTTAACCTTGATTTTTTTGCCTAGTTACCTTCTTTAATTAGTATAAGCACTTATTAATTTGTTTGTTTTGTGTTCTCATTTGTTTGTACAATTTCCTCGTTTCAATAATAGATTATTATTAAACTTTTATACAAATTATAAGTTAACTTATTCCACTCAATTGGACATGACTATCTAGATTCTAACATACTCTAGGCACCAATCACCTGAGTGAACAAAACAACGTAGCAAGAACCAACGTATATGAACATGGATGAACATACAACTCGAACAACCCCCCCCCAAAAAAAAAACAAACATGAATGAACCTACAAGGCAAACGAACATTTAACATGAACAAACATCTAACAAGAACAAACATATAATTTGTTTGCTCTTATGTTTCTCTATTGCTTAGATTTAAGTCTTTGGATTTATTTCGAATGGATTTCAGAATATTCAGAATTCAGAAAGGGATTCAAAAAATATTCAGAAAGGGATTCAGAATATTCAGAATTGAAGAAGCAATTGGCTAGAAACAAGAGCATATCGTATTCATGGACATCAGGCCTTGAATGCATTCACAATGGGAATAACGATATCCAATCAGGTTGTTATCGCGCTTGCTTTTGTTAATGTCAACATTGAAAAAATTTAACAATTTAATGACAGTGCAATGAAGATGTTACTAGGAACGGTGAGGATGGTATGTATAAATATATATAGATAGATATATAGAGAAATATATAGAAAATTATATATAAAAAGAAAGAGAGAGAGAAAGAGAGAGAGAGAGGAGAGAAAGAGAGAGAGAGAAAGAGAGAGTAGAGTACTCGGTACTGCCAACGTTTTAATGTAGGACATGGTGGTCATAAATAGTTGTTATTAATTAATCCTCTATTCATTGTGGATGTTGGTGGCGATGTTGGTGATGATGAGAAAGTGAGTGAGTGAGTGAGTAGTGAGTGAATGAGTGAGCGATTGATTGGGTGAGCGATTGATTGGGTGAGTAAATGAGTGAGTAAGTACTAATGGAGATGATGACAATGACGTGATTTGAATCCTATAGGTACTAGAGTTGGTAGTGGTGATGATGATGTAGAATAATAACTGCTATTATGATAGTGATGTCTGATGATGATGATGATAATGATGATGACGATGATGATAATGACGACGATAAATATGATGAGGCACATGATGATGACAATGATGATGACGATGATGACGACGACGAAGTGAGTGCTATCATGTAAATGATTTCCAAATAATGAATACTTCACAACAACATGTGAACAGCACCGTGAATGTAGCTGTCGTTATTATTATTACTATTGTTATTTATTATTATTGTTGTTGTTGTTGTTACTGATGTTGTCGTTGTTTGGATGTTGTTGTTTTTCTCAGTGCATCAGTTATTGATGTTGTTTTTGTTACCTCCACCGTTGTAACTGTCTAGACGTTAAATTATTCATTATATGATTACATTTTTGGATGTAGTTATAAAATTTGTTGAACAACCAAAGCTGATAATTCAACTTTTCCGGACATAAATAAACGCATGTGTACACATCAATGAATAAACACGTCGAAAAATTATATAAAAAAAGCATAACATTTTGACAATATCTTTTGTGGACATGGATACATGAATGCACCAAAGAATCGTTGACACAAAACATAAAACACAAACGAACTAACAAACAAACATACATACATACAAACAAACAAACAAACTAACTAATAGACAGACAGACAGACAAACAAACAAACAAGCAAACAAAAGAAATAAAATAATGCAGAGGTGTCTCATTGTGACTCCACGTGGTTTTGAAATTTTTGAAAGGATGTGTTACAGTTGAGATACTAGATTAACGGATAAATAATAACATGAAGAGTAACAGTATATAACATCATAACTACTTATAGTGATACTATAATAATCATCAATTTCACCACAAACAACAAACATCACCCTCTTATTCATCATCAACTTCATCACATTCATCATCAACATCATCGCATTTGTCAATCATTGCCAACAACATTAGCAAATGAAGCAGTTACATTTTATAACGAAGCAGAAGTCATCATGTCTTTTGCACTGTTGTTATTTATGTTGTTTAAATCAGACAAAAAAATATTGTAAACAAATGCTATTTCGGATTAATATGATATAATGAGGCGTTTATAAAAAAAGATGGGTGGTTGATGGGTTTTGGGAAATGAAAAAAAGATGATAAATTAATAGCAGTAACAACAACAACCACAACAGCTGATTCCACAACATTCTCAATAACTTCAAAAATAATTACAGCAACAACAATTACATCAACACTTCCAACAACAATATTCCAACGAAAACGACAAAAACCATATAACCATTCTAAATTAAGAAATTAGACTTTTTAAATTGTTATTTCTATGTTTGAAATTAATTTAATATCTCAAAACTTAACATAAAAATTTTATAAACATATTTTTAAGTTTTTATTTTATGAGACAGCGTTTACTGCCGTAAGAAAAATAACCTAAAGGGTAGGCAAAGTACGGCCCGCGGCACCAGAAGCTATTTTATGCGGCCTGCGAGGACTTGTTCGCCAAAAAAAGGTAATCAGTCAGACATTATATACAAAAAAAAGAGTCCCAGATTTTAAGAAAATTCTCCCCGGGCCGAAAAAATTTACTATTTAAGTACATATGCGGCCCTTCAAAGGTAAAATTGTTCTCAATGCGGCCCTCACAGCAAAAAGTTTGCCCACCCCTGAATAAACCGCATCGGATTAGATGCCTCCAAAATGATTTTATTTGAAATAATGTCATTCTGCGCCACTAGCGTAAAATATTCATCAAAAAAATGTTTAAAAAAATTTATGATTCGATTAAACATTAAATAAACAAAAAAAAACTTAAATGAATATATTTGTAATGGCTTAAAGTGAATTTTAATGATGGTTTCTGATTGCTACAGTCAAACATTTTTAAGATGAACTGATGGAAGAGACATTAAATCGTGTGTGGCATTCATACGATGGTACCACATGGGACCATAGCGAGACATGAAGACATTTAATTAAGAACGGATCGAGCCTGGACGACTGTTTTTATTTATTTGTTTATTTGTTTGTTTGTTTGTTTGTTTGTTTATTTGTTTGTTTGTTTGTTTATTTGTTTGTTTGTTTATTTATTTGTTTGTTTGTAACTTGGACAATTTCTCAATTTTTGGGTAAAGTTTGTCTTTCGCTGTTAGCCATGTTCATCAAAACAAATTAAAAATTTATTCTGGTGATGCAAAATGTTTAAGAGAGCAATATGACATCTCTTATGTTGATTGAGCATTGGCTATCTTATTGCGATATGCATTTAGCATTATGATTGAGATAAATCTGCTTGTGAAATAAAACGTTTTGCCTGTTTAAGATACGGTTTCAACAACATCATCAATTTTATTTTGTGTTGTCTTGTCATGGTGGATTGCAAACTGATTTCAAGAAGATCAAATGTTTTATATAAATGGCTCTTTTAACATTATAAAATGTTTTTATTTTCTCTGTTTGAGATATGAAGTTACGCGAACAAAGAATTTTTAAATTGGAAACAACCAAATTGGGCGTATACACAGAAAGGAAAAATGAAACCTCGAGGACGGCAATTGATCAAACTTTCATACGAAGAACAATGAATGAATGTTTCAAGTTACATTATCCATCAATTGTATATAATGAACATTATCAGCACCTTCATCATTATGACCGCAACAATATTTATCAACGACAACAAAGCAATAATCAACTTATTCATCAAACAATTACACAAAACATCAAAAGAATATAGACCACATCAACATAATACACATAACATCAGCTGAATTCACATAACATCAACAGAGTACCGAATCACATCAACAAAAACAGCACTGTTGAATGCAACGGAAATTAAACCTCAACATCAGTCATCGATCAAAAACAACGTTGCCGTTATGTTTCAGCCAACAACAGCAACAAAAGATCAACGACGGCAACAGCCGGCAACGCAACTCAACATCCCAACATGAACGTAACATTTCAAACGCCGACACGACACGCTGCGTTTTTCAAAGTTGAAATGTTTTGACTGCAAAGAAAATTTTTCTAATTTTATTTTTCGGTTTTTCTAATTTCCAAAAAGAAAACAATTGACT